CAGAGACTGGAAAACAGCCCAGTGCCTCTTCCAAGAACTCCCAGATGTCTTCATTAGGTGAGCTGCAATCCTTTGTTTGGATAGCCTTCTCCATTGGTGGAGTCCTCAGAAACATGCTCGGTGGTGTTGCTGTTGACCGATTCTCCCCCCAAGCAATGTTCTTTTTGTTTGGTGTAATCCTTACTATGCAGTTTTTTATAACAGTTTTGATTCGTGAAAGTTCACTTAATCTCCCCAAGAGTCCATCAAATGTCGGGATCAGAAAGCAGCTTTCAGAGCTCCTAGTTGCATTGCGGAAACCTGAAATTGCTCACTCAATAACCTGGTTTGCAGCGTCTCATGCCATAATTCCAACCTTAACAGGCACCATGTTTTTCTATCAGACGCGACATTTGGATATTGACTGTTCTGTATTGGTGGTCTCTAAGGTGTTTGAACAGGTAGCAATGTTGCTCTGGGTGTCGCATATAATCAACACCTCATGTCCGTTCCGCCGAAGAAACTAATCTCAGCCATTCAGTTGACTATGGCTGTTTTCATGGTATCGGATGTTTTGTTTGTGAAAGGGATATATCGAAGGATGGGGATGCCGGATTCGGTCTATGTTCTGGTCTTCTCAGGCTTACTAGAAGTTATGTGTTTCTTCAAGATTCTACCATTTAGTGTTCTTGTGGCACAACTTTGCCCACCAGGCTATGAGGGATGTCTAATGGCATTTCTCACATCTTCCACTGCTCTTGCATTTATAGTGAGTGGATACTTGGGTGTTGCACTTGCATCATATGTTGGGGTGACAGGGAATGATTTCTCAGGCCTGTCATGTGGCTTTATTGTACAGGCAGCATGCACGCTCTTGCCTCTCTTTTGGTCATCGTGTATTTCGGATGTGCCCAAAACCAAAAGGAAAGGACAGTAATAGTAACAGTGAGAGAGCGCTTAGTATTACTATTATGTTAGAGTTGGCTGTCGATTTTTATTTTTTACTTTGATGTCTCGTGTTCTTTCTGGTTTTGATTGTTTTCATTTGATGTAATATCATTAGATTAAAGGAAGTTTTTGTTACTTTCTGCAGAATCGTATCATTAGATAAATAATAAAAATAATAAAAAACAAGATTTCTCTTAGTAGTATTAGTGTAGCTTGGCTTGTACAAAATCTACGTATAGGAGTTTCTTATTAATTTTTCAATAGTTTTACATAATGACAATAAGTTAATGGCTTGGATTGAAATTAAATCAAAATATTGAGGATGTTTAAATTAAAAACTTAAGGTTTGTTTTGTTATAATAATCGAATTCTGGAGTTTTTCTTGTAATTTTTCCAAAGAAATTTTATTCAAGTCTTTTTTTACATGTTTTGTTTTTTCACCCATCCAAACATGATTGTGAGAAAATATAATTTTATTTTTTATTCTTTTTTCACCCTACCATCTACATGGGACTGTTAGGCTGGATGCTCAAATGAAAAATGTGCTTTGTTTCGGAACAATTTTGGAATCAAAATACAGCCGGCCGACACAACTTCATTAATGTGATCGGCACTATAACGATCCTGGTCTTTCCTTGTCAATTACTGTATTCCGAACTCGAGTTCCGTGGTTGTATGTTGTTGTTTATATCTCATTTCCATCCTTTGGATCTTTGTATTTGAGTTTTGGGATGTGTTGGTTAAGTTTAGAACAGGTTGGTTGTGAGTTTGAACAAATGGTTGCTGCCTAGGTTTTGGCTTCTTCACTCGAGCGAGGCTTTTTTGCGATCGAGTGAGCCTTGGGTATTTGCTTCTTCGCTCGAGCGAGGATTGTGGGTTCTCAATTTTTTCTTCAGACGCAGCTTCCGCTCGAGTGAGCTTTCTTGTGCTCGAGCGATGCTTCTTGCGCTCGAGCGTGCGTCTGCGTCTATTTTGGACCTGAAGGTTGGTATTCTTTGCTTGAGCGAGCGAGCTCTATGTTTTGTGTTCCTTCGCTCGAGTGAGAACTCTTGCGTTCGAGCATGCTTCTACGTTGCAGACCTGAAGCTTTGAATTGTGCGCTCGAGCAAGGTTCTTTTGTGTCTGGTCGCTCGAGCGACAACTCCTTCGCTCGAGCGAGCCTCGCATATATCAGATCGCAGCAGCGGTCTTCTCCTTCACCTTTTCATCTCCTTTTCACTCTAGACCTTAAATTCGGCAGTCTCTCTCTCTCTATACACCCTCTCTCTCTACAAATACATCTTGTGCTTGGGTCTCTCTACCCTAGTCCATTTGTAAGAAAGGTAGAGTATCGCGTGGGCTTCATTTTGATCCGAAAAAATTTGAGTTTGGAGCATCTTGAGTTTTCTTTTTCTTTTCCTTTTCCTTTGAGCTTCTTCATTTGAGGTATGGATAAACTACTTATTTCTATGAGCTTTAACATAAATGTTAGCCATTTTGTATAAATGGTATGATTTGGAGATTTTGGGAAGTTAGGGTTTAAAATGTGAAATGTTTGAAAGAGGGGTTTTCTACCCTTGGCTCCATTGTGTATGGAAGGTCTTGAAAAAGGGGTTAAGTGTATATAATTGATAAAATTGGGCCTCGGGTGCAATATTTGAGAAAGGGGGATTAACATCCTAATTGGATTTAAATAATTAATTTGTATAATCAATTCGGTAGATTGGGGAAATATGAAATTGGATTGAAAATCTTAAAATTGGAAGAAATTGTGATTGAATGTTATAGTTGGATTGATAAATCACTCATCGGTGGAAAATGTAATAATTTATCTGTTTGGTAAATTTATTATCTGTTTAGAAATAACTGTTTTGGGTTATCGGTGGAAGATAGTCTTGATTGTTGTAGAAACTACATGATGATTTAGGTAAATTGAAACTAATCGATTGGAATATGTCATTGAATATGACGGTTCGGTATAAACATTGAATATGTGATTGAATTGGTCATTGTATATGACAATTTGTTTAAATACATTGTATATGTATATGTGTTTGGGAGGAGATAGGGCATGTACTCCATTGTTTGGGAGAAGATAGGGGATGGAATCCATTGATAACTAAGTTGGCTGGAGTGTCCAGGGTGAAAGTCCTGAAACCTTATATACATCTGAAGCTGATTGAAGTGTTGATAATATGAGTTGTAGTCTCATTTGAACTGTTTGGATAAATAATGTACCATGTTAAAGAATTGATTTGGATAAAGGAATGGAAATGGATTGAAATACCATTGTAAATGTTGTCTGGTTATGGAAAGGATGTATGTTGGTTTACATATGTTAAACAGTTATCGGATGCTATTGTTTTAGTTATTTCTCATATTATGTTTAGTATATCTCTACTGGGCATTGGCTCATCCTGCTTGGGACACCATTTTCAGGTACAGATGTCATGCTGCCTCCAAGGTCTTAGCTTGGGAGGTTTAAGAGCTGAAGGCTTCATTTTGTTATTTTGCCAATACTTGTATTTAAATGTAAATCTAAGCCGAGGGTTTTACTTGTAAAAGAGTTCGGACTCTTCTTTTGTGTAACCAAGTAACAACTTGGAAAGATGTAAGCCGCGGGAAATTTTATTATTTTGTAAACATTTGTAACTTATATGAAATATCCTTTTGTAACAATAACTCTGACGAATGGAAATGTGACTTATCTATCATGTTTATAGAACTGTTAAATGATGGGTTTATGTATTATTTTGAAGGCGTTACAGGCACCACATTAGGAACAAAATTTTGTGAAGCCAACTGGGAGAAGATTGCTTAATTTCTTTGACCTAAGAACAGAGCAAAGAGAAGGAAAAAGTTTTGTTCTGTTTTTTTTTTTTTCTTTTTCTTTTTTTCTTTCTTTTTCAAATCACAAGAAGAACATCATAGTATTCCATTTACAAAGGAGGGAGAAAGGGTTAGGATCTGAAACTTGATCTGATAAACAGAGCGTGCTAGATTTTCCATAACGAGATTAAGCATTTTGTTAATAACATATATGAATAATATTATACTATTATATAAAGCAAATAAATGAAAACTTTTATCATGTATTTTTGTTTTTTAAAAATACCCATAAAATTGTTAATTGCTGAAAGTCTAGTAATTAATAGTAAATCAATATTTAAATTTAACTTATCTTAATCATTCATCAAACCCATCAAAAATTCAGATTGAAAATTTAGATTTGCAACCAACACTACAAGAATTAACACTTTTAGCAACAAAAAAATTGGTCACTAAAAGTCTATTTTTGGTTGGCAAAAGTTATCCGCGACCAATTTTTTTGGTCACTACTTTGGTCGCCAATTAAGGGTCGGCAAAAGTAATTCGTGACCAAAATTTTGGTTGGTCGGCAAAAGTTGGATTTGCCGACTAAATTTTTGGTCGCTAAATATTTAATTACCGCAACTAATTTATTTTGTCGCCAAAACACTTTGGTCGCAAAAAGTGATATTTTCCCGACCAAATTTCTTAGTCGCCAATTATTACATTTCGCGACCAAATTTTTTGGTCGCCAATTAAATTCAGATTGAAAATTTAGATTTGCAACCCACACTACAAGAATTAACACTTTTAGCAACAAAAAAATTGGTCGCTAAAAGTCTATTTTTGGTTGGCAAAAGTTATCCGCGACTAATTTTTTTGGTCACTACTTTGGTCGCCAATTAAGGGTCGGCAAAAGTAATTCGCGACCAAAATTTTGGTTGGTCGGCAAAAGTTGGATTTGCCGACTAAATTTTTGGTCGCTAAATATTTAATTACCGCAACTAATTTATTTTGTCGCCAAAACACTTTGGTCGCAAAAAGTGATATTTTCCCGACCAAATTTCTTAGTCGCTAATTATTACATTTCACGACCAAATTTTTTGGTCGCCAATTATCACATTTCGCGACCAAAAAAATTGGTCGCCATTTGTGTCTTTTCGCGACCAAAACTTTTAGTCAGCAAAAGTGAGATTCCACGACAAAGAGCTGTTTTGGTCGGCAATACATGTATTTTTTGCGACCAAAACTCTTGGTCGGCAATTGTCATTTTTTGCGAAAAAAAATTATTTTGAAAGAATCGACTTCCAATTTTCAAAATCAACTAGCTACAGCAAAAAGTGAAGCAAATGTCCTCAATGATTAAAAACTTGTATAGGGTTCTGTACTATATCAGGATTTGAAAGGCAAAACAAAAACAGCTAGAAAGAAAGAAAATGGGTAATGGAAAATAATTACTCAGGAAACAAACGCATTATAATTCAAAAATAAAATAAAGAAATATTAGGGGGAAAAAGGTGAAAAAGAACCAATCTTCTCAATCTCAGCATGACCAGGACATTCTTTTTAAATGCATAAATAAGAGTAAAATGTTAAACACACTGCAATATTCAAGGCTTTGAGATACCTTGGGAGAAAAATCTTCTATAAGATAAACAGCACTAGAATTCAACTCGGATATAGTAAAAGGTGGGTCAAGTTGTTTGTGAAGGTATCTGAGTCCCTGAGCAATGCCTATAACAATTTTCATTCGCCGTGTCCAAGATAATTGGCATCCTTCTCCATCTGCAATTATAAAGAAAGCTCAAATTTCAGCTACTGAAACATTTACTCTTACAATGGAGGTGCTCATACAACGTCCCATTTGATGCATATTCAAAAACCAACATCCTTGTAAATGGTTTACTCTCTGTGCAATAACCCAGTAATTTTCCTGTATTCTCATGATTTAATCTTGCCAAATCAGCTACCTGAATTGTAAAAATAAGTGAAATTTTAAAAGTCGTTTGTCACATATCTAATTACGTTCACCATCAATCTAATTACTTTACCTCTCTCTGGTAATAAAGCTCAAGATAGCCTGTCCAATGCTCTTCTTTAATGCAAAGCGATATTACAGCAATCTCAGGCCCACCTTTCATGGTCCCTTTGTAGACTAGATTGTCTGGAGAGGACCCAATAATGTTGCTGAAATCTTCACATGCTACTTCGAGTTCTTGTTTGCTAAATCTCAATACATCCTTCAACATCTCAGAATCTGTATAGACTCCACCAAAGTCAACATGAGATCTATCATATTTAAAGAGCACAACTTTGAATCTTAGATGTAACCCAATAAAAATGTACAACGTTGAACCATATTTAAACACCTAAACAAGCGATGTGTAAACTTTGTGTCACAGAAGTTTAATGGGTTGTTCACAAAGACGCCACACTATGAATTTATAGATTGTGTTGATCAGCTCATCAATATTCTAGCTGATGGAAGAATTATACAGGAATAGGAAGTGCAAGTAAATAGTTATACATTTTTATTTTCTTCATTCAAGTTCACATGTTTACTTACCACAAAAAATTAAATTAATATTATTCACATTCTTGCTACAAGCAACTATTTTCAGTGAAAGCGCATCAAATCGATCCCCGAACAGATAACTGCAACATTTAGAGAAATTATAGAGTAATTATATATGAATCTTTTACTTACATCCCATGCATGCTGGATGTAAAATCTGAACTGTTAGTTGCAAGAACGTTTCCTTGAAGCTTATTCTTATCCAGCCGAAGTTCCTCAAGGTATTTCAAATTGCCAAGTTCAGAAGGCAGCTTTCCAATCAACCCATTAGATTGAAGGTTCCTGAAACAAAAAAAGCAAAATCTCAAACCAGAAGCAAACACATAAACTCAAATGAAGAAACAAAATGTCAAACACCATTTACATTTTCAGAAGGCTGGTCAAGCTCCCAAGCTCGGAAGGAATTGGACCTGATAGTTGATTATTTCCCAAATCCAAGACCTTTAGGTACTTTAACATGCCAATTTCTTTGGGTATTGAACCAATCAGACTGTTCCCATGCAAAATTCTGTAATGCATCAGGATGTTAGATTAAGTTTCAACCATTCTCAGAATAAGTTTTCAAACATTTTGTGCTCTACTTAACAAATAACAGAATAATTGGAAGACAAAAAAATAAGAGAGAAAATTGTGTAGGATGTACAGATGGAAAGCATACAGTTCTTGCAAGGAAGAGAGTTCTCCCAATTTTGGAGAAAGAAAACCCTTCAAGGATGACCAAGTAATGTTTCTGCAAAACAGAGTTCCAAAACAAATGGGTCGCAACAATTAGCCTTTACATGCATGCTAATAGAGCACCTCCAATCCTTCACCAATTCTTTGACCAAAATTTTAATTTGAAGAATAGAGGGCTAAACAAGTGAGCTCTAATTATTTCATCGAACTTGTATCAAATTGAACTTGTATCAAATCAAGGGAGAGGCAAAATTTTCAGCAAAAGGATGAACCAAATCCTTCACCACATATTTTTACTCAAATTCGACGAAATTCTAAAATGATTAGGATGGGAGATGATTTTCTTTCATCAAAAATGGTTAAAATAGGTTTGATGAAAAAGGAGAGAGTAAGAATCGGAGTGTTGCATAGCAGATCAAGCTTTTAACTAAATTTTCACTCAAACTTGATGAAAAAAAGAGAGTAAAGATTGCCACAACCTGAAGTATTGTAATTCCTGGACTTTTATTATATTGTAGAGCAGTTAAGTACAGTGACAAGACTCGAACCAAGCAAGGTATGGAACTATCAAGATCCGAACTTGAGAAAAATACAAAAAAGAGATGACTACTCTGGTCATTGTAGAGAGTACCGACCTAGTAGAAAAATGATGTAATGCATCAATCACAGTGGCAACCAAAAACAAATGTAATAGAAGTGGAGAACTGTAAGAGAAGTATCAAACAGAAGACAACTGACATAGAAGTTCTTATATGCAAGCACTGTCACCTTGTGAGTCGGGACTCTTTCCAGAATTGTCTTTTTCTGAACCAAGTGTCGGAAAGTCTCCAGAACTCAGAGAGAACCCATCCTTCTTGGAGGTTGCCACTCCCTGCATACATAATATGTTAGGTCAAGTTGCCAAGACATAATGCAGCAACCTCAACAGGAGTAACTACTATAAACACAAAAAGGGTTAAAAATGAAAAAAGGCAGCTCCAACTAAGAAATCTAATCATTCATATAAATAAGATTTGAGACAATGTATTGCAGCAATTTTTTTAATAACTAGAAGCAAGACAATAAATATTTTTTTAACTAAAAATTTATAACATGAATATTTAATGCTAAACTTAGTTATGCCATCCTACCAATTTCTCTGAGACACCAGTTGGACCCCATGCAACTGAATTATCAGATGAGAAAAGATCATAAAAAGGTGTGCATGTCTCCAAGTGCTTGCACATGCACGTGTGTGTGTGTGTGTGTGTATGTGTGTGTGTGAGAGAGAGAGAGAGAGAGAGAGAGAGAGAGAGAGAGAGAGTATATATCACCAAGACTGTGTATTACTCACTTGGGAACAATTTCCACACTTGGGTCCAGACCATGATTTTCTAACCTTGAAACAACATTGAACAGAATTTCAGAGAGAGAACCCCCATAATTAACATAGGAAAATGGAAATAATTAAGCAGCAAGCTAGATACCTTTGGCTGGGTAAGTTTAAAAGTTTTGGAATAGCAACTTTTCCCAAAATAGTCATGCCACCTCTTCTAGTGGAGGACGCCCACCTGCAACAATGACCAAACAACGTTAACGCATATAAACCTGTCCACAAACTATGAAATAGCATAAATTAAAAAATAAAAAACATAGTTTTTTACAATACTTGAACAGAATTACATTAGAAGATGGAGGAAACCAACACATGACTTCTCTGATAGACACTAAAATATATATATACACAATAGGTGTACTGAAATCCATCTTGCATACACTTGGAAGACACAGGTAAAAACTCACAATTCAACAACCACATAATATAAAAAGAATCAGAACGTCATAGCCCTCAATAATATATATGCCAACTACTAGAAATTATTTAAAACAACAAAAAATACATAATTAAAATTGGAACAAGATCATGATTTTCCTTTTAATAAGTAAATTTGAAACAAGATCATGCTATTAGACATTTGCATGTAGAAACATTAACTCCCCAATTAGACATCCACGGAGGGAATGGTTTGTCCATAACCAAATGGATGCCCAACATAATAAATCTCTGATACAGAACATATCTAGGCAGATCTTGTAGAGGAATTATAGAAAGAAAAGAAGGCAAACACAGTAACAGACACAATCTTTGATGTGCCCTAGAGAACACCACAACTAAAAAGAGTGGAAATATATTGCCACAACAAGGTTAACATGGTTCATGAAAAAGTAACCCATGTCAGAATGAGATGAGAAGATCCACCATCACGATAGATGGACAATGGTAAACTCATTACCCTCACATATGTTGGCAATGGTGTTGCATAATTATACATATTACCTAAATTAGTATGAAGCAAGAAAAATCAACACAAAAACAGAACTAAGAGGATTCTCGGCAATCTTAAACCACAAGTGATGTAGCTAATCCATCAGGCTGCAATTCAGAATTCCTTGTGAAGGAAGACAAGAAAAATAAAATTCTAATATCTTTGATTAGGGTAAAAACAAATAAACAAAAATCATAGAGGTTACAATAAGAAAAAGTATTGATCCATTGACATGTATACTTAATGTAGTAATTGAAAATATCCTAAGACATCTAGGCTTCTACAATACAATACATTCATACATTCATATTAATAATCGAACCCGAATCGAGCGAGTAAAGCTTCTTTCCCTCAGCCAGATCCCACAACAAAATAACCCCATCTTTCCCACCACTCGCACACAGCGACCCATCGGGCGACACGGCCACCGTATTCACATACCCAGAATGCCCAGCAAGCGAAGCCCTAATCTTACAATTGGTCAACTTCCAAATCTTCATAGTCTGATCCCAAGGCGAAGACACAATCGTAGGCTGAAGATTATTAGGGCTAAATCGAACACAATTGACCCAATCGGAATGAGCATCACCATCCCGAATCGTGTACTTACACTCACCCAAAGTGTTTCACAGCTTGATGGAGCGGTCTCGGGAAGCAGAGACGATTTGGCGGAGAGTGGGCACCAATTGAGGGCACCGATTGAGAGGAAGAACACAGAAAGGGTGAGGGCGGACCAAGAAACAAAGAGAGAGGGCACCGATTTGATTTTTTTTTTTTTTTCTGATTTCATGGTACAAAACGACGTCGTTTTTAAATTAGCGACCAAATTTATTTGTTGCCAAAAAATTTCAATTCCCGCCCCCACTAAAAATCAAATTTCCCTTCCAAACTTTTAGCGACCAAAAGACCATATTAGTCACAGAAAATGTACCTTCGCCGACAAACTTTTTTAGTCGCCAAATCTCAATCAACGGCGACTAAAATATTAGTCGCTAAAAGTACTAATTTGGCGACTAATTTTTTTTGGTTGCTGAAAATAAGTTTTTGGCAACCAAATTTTTGGTCGCCAAAAAATATGTGACCTTTCGCGACCAAAATTGTAGTTGGTCGGCAAAAGCATACCACTTTTTGCGACCAACTCTTTTTTTGGTCGCCAAAATATAACCTTCTGCGACCAATAATATTTGGCCGCCAAAAATAATGATCATTCGCGCCTAATTAATATTTGGTCGCCAAATGTCATTTTTTTGTGACCAAAATTTTTTTGGTTGGCAAAAGTGGTCGCCAAATGTGTAAATTCTTGTAGTGCAACGGCTGAGAGACAGAGAGAAAGAGATTACTGGTCCATTCTCTTCTCCATGCATGGACAATGAATAACATATAGAGGATAGAGTGCGTCCCCATGCGATGATACAGAAGCCTAATAGCATGAATAGAATTGGACCCTACATTTATACTACACTAGTTGGACTCCCACGCGCTCCGCTCATGGGAGTTGTGCTATTGTTGACTGAGAATAAAATGCGTCATAATATATAGTATTATTAAGGTGTTTTAAGATAATTTTAGGGTCGTAATATCAGTCTACAAATAAACTTGATAAGATACAAAAATCTGAGCTTGGGAGCGTTAAATTCAAATTAAGTATCATCTTTGTATAGAAAAAAAAAAGAAAAAAAAAAGAGTAAAAAGAAGACACTTACCAATCAGATCTATTAATTGGACTTATTTACCTACAGGTCCTATTCACAAATTTATCACTGTAAATTTATTCATAAAAATAAGAGAGATTGATAAATTTATCAATATGACTTAATGAATAACGAGTCCCAAAAATAGAATTTATTGGTAATTTATCCTAAAAAAAATTACAAATCAGAAAATCACATATTAGATTGTCATGTTTGACAGATGGTTTAACCATAAAAATATGTAACCTTGTTTGACCGTTGTTGTTCATTGGTTGCTTGCTTGAGTGATTAGGTTGAATGAGTATAACCAAAGCAATTGCTAATTTCTTCATTGTGTCAACTACTCAAAAAAACATTAGAACCAAATAAATCCAGCCCAGGCATATTTACTTTGCCCATGTTTGATTTGATTTTTTAAAGATTTTCTCAATTTTTTTAACTAAAAATTAATTTGGTGAAATAAATAAAAAATTAAAAATACTTATCACTTTTATATAATTTTATCTTTTGGGAGGTCAAAATTCATTTTTTAAAAATATTTTTTAATATTGATTTTTATCAAAAACAAGCCAAACCACCCCTTGTTTTTGCAAAATATATCAATTAAAAAACAAGTATCCAGGCATATGTATACCGAATAATGGTAACTTTAGTAGAAAAACATGGTGGCTTTTGGTTGGCTAAGCCAACATGTATACACAACACAGGTGGCTAAGTTTTAAAGAAGACATTATTTGAAAAATAATTTTTTGGAGAGAGTTTAGAAATTTTGAAAATTTGTTTGGTTGCATATTTTAAAAATAGTTTTGAAGTTTTGGAATTTCGGACGATTTGATATTTTTTTTATAGTTGAACAAATGGGTATTAGAGAAAATGTAATTGAGAATGAGAAAAGAAAGAGAAAAAGTGATTGATTGATGTGTAGTAGAGAAAAGTGATTTTGAAATTTTTTTCTCTAAAATTTTCAACTAAACATTTTACTGAATTTTTTTTCTCCAAAAACATATTTTGAGAGACAAACCAAACATGCTTATAATTTCTCATGTAAATATATTTACCAACACAAGCATATTCAATTGCAATAAATCTATAACCCATATATAAATCAGAACAAAAACACCACGAAGCAAATAAATCAAAGGCATGCAATCTTAGACAAAAAAAAAAAAAAACATATAAGTTACTGTTTCATTGTTAACTAACCTTGTCTTCACCTAAGGCTCTTCTTCAACTTCATAGGCATTAGAAATGGACCTAATCACAATATAGAATTTTTTGCTCACCCGAACAAGACCATTTCGTTAGTGAACACTATTTGAAAGAGAAAATTAAAAACAAACATTGTCGTCCAAACTCTAACCGACAATGCTGTGGTATAATAAGTGTTAACTTTTAATTTATTACATATCCAATGATAAAAGGTCAAACTTTTATTATATCATTATACCAAACTATAGATCTCTAACATTTTTGAAAAATTTATTATATATTATAGGAACAAAAATACTATAAATCCAAACTTATGAATCCATAATTTGTCCATCAATTTTTATATATGTAATATTAATTTGTATAAATGACATTTTTTGTAATTGGAGCTTGAGACCCAACTTAATGTTTTG